GCAGAAGCTTGCTATTTGGGTGATTGCATTATTATTTGCGCAGCACTGAGTTTAATGATAACTAAAGAACAGGAATTCTGAAATCACTATTACGCCAAATTTTCTGGGCACAGATGATCAATGGGATATTGTTAAAAGATCAAAGGTCTCTTTCTCCGTTTGCTGAGGTATGTGACAAAAAATGTTTATGGAATCCCTAGCTTAATTCGTGCGTAATGTAGTAGTAAATTCGTGCATATTATTATCATGCACATATGAACTCACCTAATACTGTCGTCGCTTCTGTCATATATTATTGCCATTCAGTATTAGTGCACAGAAACAGTGCTAATAACTGAGGACTAGCTCACTTATGTAGCAGTGTGCAAGTGTTCCAGCCTAAAGAAAACACCCAACACACTAACTCCTGACGACAGGATTATTCTCACAAAAAACACTCTGACGGTATGTGAAATGACAGTTTTATGTATCATTGTTTGCAGCGCGTTACCAGCTTCTTAACAACACCGTCAAATGGTTATTTGGCAGTTTTCATTGATTCTCTTCCTGTCTTACCAAACTCAGTCATCGGCAGTAAAAAAAACCACTCATCAATGCCTGAACTAGCTTGTTGGAGGAGATAGAAAGAGAAATCATAAACATGTTTTGTCTACTAAAAAGCAATAAAATAATTAGTATCTGAAACCAAGAGACTGTCATAACAAACCATTTGAACCTGGTTAAGGCTATATGATGATGGTAAAACGATGGGATTTAAGTGGAATAGTGTATGAACCTAAATGACAGAGACGTGAATAACGCCTAATCTTACATGGAAGCACACACGACGAAACAAGCGTATGCTGAAGACTTGAAGCACCAAGTGACTGACCAGCAAACTACGCAGTCGGCAGTGTCACATTCGTGCCTGAATTTAATGACATGTGTTACATTCGAGGTGGTTTCGATGATATCTCTGGTGATTCCATCACTAAAATTAATGACAGATGGTTTCGAGATATCAAGAAGAGGTCAGAGTGAATACATGAATGACGTATCAATAAGAAATTCATGGGAAATTTTAAATAATACAGGAGCGAAGTACAAAGACTTTGAAATATATTTAGCGTTTGGTGGATATAGTAAACAGTCAGTTCATCTATTGTATGATTATTCGTATTCTGCATTTATTGATTACACGTTTAATTCCTCAAGCAAAACAATCCAACGAGTTTCATATATATCACTGAAACTGACAATTCATAGCTCAACTTTTCAATGCAGCATACTCATTCTACTTGTGACTTGATGACTTTCATGTTGTGAAGGCACATAAATACTGAACTAACTTGCACTTGTGAAAGAAGAGATTAACCTGTTTAAACTGATTTCATCTGTTGATCGTCAGCCATTCCCTACTAATGAATACAAAATCAGTTCTGTGACATGGATTCAGATGGCAATATTTACTGCTTAGTCACAAAGTGATTTGAAAATGAAGTTCAGGTTACAACCCGTATTTCGCGTAGACTGTGTGAATCAATTAACTAGCCAACATCGATTAATTACTGTCACCTAGGTGATAAACACTATTGTCATAACAGAAAAGTCAACAAACTATTGTCTGAAGATAGGTCAGTCACACGACAAATGGTACATTTGTAACCTGTATATTTTCAGTGAAACTGGAGATGTCAAGTCGTTTTATTAAGTGCCTCAGTATGAGGACAACATATTTAGCACAGTTTCATGGGATATTGTTGTCAGTATGGAGTACACGTGATAGGATAAAGCGAATTGTCACACCTGAGTGCAGCATGTGCAAGAGAGTATAATTCACTCGTTGGGAATATAAGTCTGATCCCTTAGCACTACACCATCTACACGAATCACAGTTTCTGATTTAGTCAATTTATTGTGTGATTGATTCTGTTTGACTTGTTGTATTGATAGTATGTGTGACAGGACTATAATCAACCGAGAGTGATATATTTATATTTATGTAGAATAATTTCTTTTGTTGACGCCATCCAGTTAATAACATTGCATTGCGACATACCATAATGAATGAAAATATATCCAATGTGTAATTAATTACATTCTACCTCTTGATTGTATTGTGTTCTGTGAGCTGGGTTGTTTAATCGTGAAACTTTCATCGTTTTTCTGGACATCATCATCAACACTAACCTCAGTATGAAGTTCATACTGACCAGACCATCCACCTGAGCTACAAATATTCTCCATTATTTCACATTCTACCTGAGTGTACAAGTTTTTCGACTATATTGAACTGTATGGTTGGTCGTTGGCTATTCCATAGAAAATCATTCCTCAATATGATTGTGAATTTCACTCAATTTTCTATGTAGTGTCTAACCATTCTCAGATAACTAACTGGATGGACGATCAATACACCGTCTTACGTATTCCTAAATGAAAACAGAAAGCATAGGGTTAGCGTAATCATTTGGATTGACGCGTCGGCCATAGATTATCTGTGTGGTTCGCCCACGTTTAAGCTTAGTTTGCCTTGAGTCGTATTCACTCACAGGAAACCAGGTGAAACTTAGTTATCGTGAGTTCACCGGAAGACATAATCAAAGTTGTGTCAAACGTCTTAGATGACCCAGCACCAAATGTATGTGACTACCTCAAAGCCGTCCTCGTTAGACGTATTGTACTAACTGATCAACTGAAAGTGAAAGAACTTTCCAGAGATGTGCATCTCGGAGGTCGTAAGCCCACTCAGCTGCTTCGTCAAATGAAGCAACTGGTTACAGACTTCAAAGTTGATCACGTATTTCTCAAATAACTATGGTTCCAGAGATTGCCGCAGACAATGCAATGAATCTTAGTACCCTTTCATAACTCTCCATTGATGGAGCTAGCGTAACAGCTGACAGAGCAGCAGACATTCTCAAGCCCAGCACTGGTGTTTTGGCTGTAACATCTGCTGTTATTGACTCACACAAAGCCCCCTGCCTTCCTTCAACAAGTGAGCCGAGTTTCGACACTGTGGCTCATATCACTAAATTTTACTGGGAGTTATGCAGTATTAGGTAGTAAACAAGATCTAGTAATTCTTCCTATAATCACACGTCTCGCTGTCGCAGCAGATTTACCTCCCGTACTGGAAACAGGCATTCCAAGTCACGACAATCCCGGTCCGAGTTGTGCCGGTACCATAGACTTTATGGTGCCAACGCCAAAGGTGCACTCGTCCTTGCACTTTTGAGGCTAAACAGGCGGAAAACGAGTGAGCCAGCACTTGACGGCGACTGACATCGCTGGAGAACCACTTCCTTGTAGCCTCTTCTACGTCACGGATAGAAATCCTGGGATACACTTGGTGGTTGACACTGGGGCGGAAGGCAGCGTCATCCCACCTACGAGTGAAGGGCGTCTGCGGCCAACGTCTCTACAACTTCGTCCCTCTAACTATTTACCCACCATGACTAACAGTCAAAGATTTCTCGACCTCAACCTTAGACTTCGTCGTTCTTCCGGCTGGGATTTCAGTTTTGTTGATGTGACCACCGGCATTATTGTTATGGATCTCTTACAGCGATATCGGCTACTGGTAAGCATAAGTTGACCGATTCTACCACGAAACTCTGTCTCCGGTATTATCCCACAGAAGCCCTCTGTCAACCCAGTGTACTCCTTGGAAGACAATTCCAGTCCTTATTTTATATTATTTATTATTTTATCTTTCCCTCGAGTTACTAGCGTAGCATAGGGCTTCAGGAGCACGTCTCCATTTCACTATCTTTTCTTCAGTCTTTTCAACTGTTTTCACTGTTTGTCGAAACTGAATTGTGTCCTGAGTTATGTGTGATGATTATAATCAGAATAACTGTGAAATAGTAAACGCTAGCAGTATATGACAAGTTGAGTGACAGTGAAAACCGAAAGTCACAAGGTGGTGGTTGTTTTACTATTAAATCATTTCTACAGCATTTACACTTTCCTATTCTTATTCAAGTTAGTAATACTGATACTGAGGATTATGACATTGGATGAAAACACCATCTCGTGAATTCAAGTCGAAGAAACGATAAAGACAGACGTAGGAAACAATGTCGATTATTGAGATATTGTGCAATACTGATGAAATATTGTATACTCTCCATTAAAATAGTCATTTACACAATGTGTTTCATTTTCTCTTCTTCTCCAATGTCTAGTTGCTCTTCATACGCCCAAAGTGTCTCTTGAGCGTCTCTGCGCAGAATATAAGCCCATTTCTGGTAATCGCCTATGATTTCTGCTGACCTCTTTACATTTACTACTTTTATTCATTCTTATCAGGCTGCAGGTAGGAGAGATCTGACAACATTATATCAAATAACCAGATTACTATCCCGGAGGGAAGAGATCAACGCAGCACAGATGAAACCAATGGAAGATGATGAAGGAAATTTAATTATTAAAGAAGAGAAACAAAGGAAACGAAGAGCCGACCACTTCAAAAAACTCTTGGATCGGCCGCGACCACCATCACCATCACCACCAACTACAACTCGTCCAGAAATACCACCAGTAGCCCAGCCACATAACCATCAGTGAACACGAGCCCGATATATCAACAAACTTCATACACATGTACAGTTTGAAATTTAATTAGCCAATCTAGCGATCTTCTCAAGACTTCCGACCAAGAGTTTCAATGGTTCAAATCGATCATTACAGATTGCTGCTTTCAAAGCCGCAGCACAAAACCAAAGCGAGACAGCTTCTTAAGAAAAGAGCACAGAGAACAACTGAAAAAATTGAGCTGCAACAAAGATTTGATAATAACATGTTCGGAAAAGGGTGCATGAGTGATCACACTAGACAGAAGTATTTAAATCGACAAAATGGTGGCTCTACAAACCTGCTAACGAGAAAAATAAGACCGAACAACAGCTAATTGACGCTTTGAAATAACTTAAAATGATCAGATAGTAATTCGTGATCTCTACGAATGCATCAAACCTATTATTATTATTATTATTTGTCCCTGGAGTTCCCAGTGTAACATAGGGGTTCAGTAGCACGTCTCCATTTCACTCTCTTCTTTCCAGTCTTTTCAACCTGGCTCCACCACTAACCACAAGCTTTCATTTCTCCCTCACACCATCTCCTCCATATCACCCTCGCCTCAGACGCCCAACTAGTCGTTTCCCATTTGGGTTCCACGCGACGGCCTGACCTAGAGCATGATGTCCCCAATCAGTCTTCTCAGTGTATGACCAATCCATCTCCACTTTCTTCCTCTGCATATTTGTTGAGTGATGGCTTCTTGGCCGGTTCGTTGCCAGCCAGCCAGAGTTACTTGTTGCTGATTCTTTCTGGCTATCCATCTGATCTTCAGTGTCAGTATCGAGTGAGCGTAGGCAGCTGTTGGTTTGTGCATTTTTGTAGTTTGTTGGAAATGCTTTTCGTAAAGCGCCAAGTCTCTCAACCATCAACATAGAAGTACTGACTGACATTAGTGTTAAAAATCTGGATCTTGTTCACTCTTTACGCTGAGTGCAGTGTAGTGCAGTAGATTTCCACACTGGTTTCAGGTTAATGAAGACCTGTCTTGCCATCTTTATGATCCCGGCTGCTCTGACATCTTCATCTGTGCCGTCGCCTGTAGTTGAAATGATGCTGCATTGCTTGGGTAGATGAAAGAAACAACTTCGTTCAGATTTCTCCCGTTGATGGTGATTGGTGCTTCTTGTTGTCGTTGGTTGGGTATCTTCATAACCTCTGTCTTCTCTACATTCACCTGAAGTCCCGTCTTCACTGCCCTGCCTCTTCTGTCAACTTGTTAGTTTCCGCTTGTAGATCTTCGAGTTTGTGCGACAAGATATTGGATATAAATCATCATTATCATCGGCGAAGGCCAAATCTTCTCCTGGGGTGTTTTCATCGGTCCAGTCAGCGTATGTCCATCTTCTCGTTCCTCACTGTTTGTTGCATGATCCAGTACAGTACAGTCCACTCCAGTTGACCACACTCAGGTGATAGTAGGCGGCAACTTTGTATTACTCCTCTCTTCACTTCAAAGGCATCACTGAGCTCTCCATTGTGAATCACTTGGCACTTAGCATTATCATCATAACCATGTAGCTGTTGCATGAGGTTGATAGAGGTTTGTGGCACTAAAACCGTAGTGTTGAAGCAGCTGCCTTGCAAATTACTTCTCAGTCGACACTGTCGAAGACCTTTTCAAAGTAGATGAAGTTGAGGTGAAGAGAGTTGACTGGCGTTGTATGCTCTCGCCTATGATGATGCGTATTTTAGTGCAGCGTAGTGTTGCAATTTGATCCACACATGATTCGTTTTACCTGACTCCAGCCAGTTAGCCAACCAGCCTATTTCGGTCTTAATTCTCCCAGTCCTTGCACGTCTACTATTGAATGATTTTCGGAAATCTTCAGGCCAAATCGTGGTGCACCTTGTGTAACGTCCAACGTATTGCATCATATAACGATGACGTGCTCACTGATGTACGCTAAACCACGATGGTTATCGCCGGAGAAACTGCTAGCTGTCAAGGCTGAGTTTGAAAATATGCTTTAGATGTGAATGATAAAGCCATCTAATAGCACATGGTCTTCACGTAGCATGTGGAACCCAAAAACAATTACATGCATTAGAGGCCTTGTGTTGCCTACTGAAGGCTTAACGCTAAAGCGATCCTAGATCTTTACCAAGATCTTCACACCCATATGACTTGACTATATCTTTGAAAGGCTCGTCCATCCTCAGTAAACTTGCCATGACACGTGTCATCACAGATCCCACCTCATCCTGATGATGACCCAAAGACTGCAGTCATTACACATTTTGTTCTCTTTGAGTTTGTTTGCATGCCCCTTGATCTCCTCAAAGCTGCGCAAATTATCCAACGCTTCATTCACGATATCTTGCGTGGACTAGACCTTGCTTACGCTCACCTGGACAACATTCTGATGACTAGTCAAGATGAAAATATCCGTCGTAGCCCCTTACAAAAGGTTCCCACCAAACTATCAGATGATTCGATAATACCCAATCACACCAAGTCCAAGATTGGCGTTCCTTCAGTGATCTTCCTTGGTCATGTAATAGATGAGCGTGACATTTACCCACTGCCTGAAAAGGATCAAGCGATTAAAGGCTAACGTCCCACAAGTCTTCGCAAGCATTTCTTGGTATGGTAAGCTATTACCGTCACTTTCATCCTCAGTGTGCACATAAATTAACAGCAATGACAACCTCATCAAGGTAGGTGTAAAACCCTGGACGTGACTACGCAAGCTACGGAAGCATTCCATAAAAATAAAGATGGCCATAGTAGACGCCACTGTGCTAGTGCAACAGGATGTCAAACTTCTAAGCATACCTGTTGATACTTCCAACACAGCTACTAGAGCTGTACTGAAACAACTTACGACGATACAAAATCACCCCATGCTTTCTTCTTCAGGAAGCTGTCAGCACGTGAAATGCGACACAGCACCTGTGGTCGCGAACCGCTAGTCATAAACACGTCCCTCAAAAATCTTCCCAATTATTCGTCGAACACCCAAACACAGATTAGAAGTCACAGTGGGAATAATGAAATCTATTCACAGATAAATAATCGAGTAAATGAACACTCTATGCAAATAAATCAGGTGAGAAAATAGAACCGTTTGGCATCACGAAGTTAGTCGACCTCCTCGATTGTTGGTCCCTTGCCGCCGCCGCCACCAGCTGCACCTGCACCCGGGAAACCTCCTGGCATGCCACCCGGCATACCACCACCTCCAGCTGCCTGGTACATCTTCGTGATTATCGGAGCACAAACCTTCTCCAACTCCTTCTGGTGGTAGTCATACTCATCCTTCTCCGCCTGTTGGTTGTGGTCCAACCACTGGATCGCCTCATCACACTTGCTCAATATCGTCTTACGGTCACTCTCCGATATCTTGTCCTTCAACTCGTCACCCTCCACTCGCTGCTTCATCGCGTACACATAACTCTCCAGTGAATTCTTCGCAGAAACACGGTCCTTCTGCTTCTCATCCTCAGCCTTGAATTTCTCCGCCTCCGAGACCATACGCTCAATATCATCCTTAGACAAACGACCCTTATCATTCGTGATGGTGATCTTGTTCTGTTTACCAGTACTCTTGTCCACAGCTGACACATTCAAAATCCCGTTCGCGTCAATGTCAAACGTCACCTCGATCTGAGGAACACCACGAGGAGCAGGTGGAATACCGGACAGCTCGAATTTACCCAACAAATTGTTATCCTTCGTCAACGCACGCTCTCCCTCATACACCTGGATAAGCACGCCTGGCTGGTTGTCCGAATACGTCGTGAACGTCTGAGTCTGCTTCGTAGGAATCGTTGTATTACGCTTAATCAACGCCGTCATAACACCTCCAGCTGTCTCAAGACCCAGCGACAATGGAGCCACATCAAGCAACAACAGGTCCTGAACAGCCTCCGACTTGTCACCACTCAGAATAGCCGCCTGCACAGCTGCACCATAAGCAACAGCCTCGTCAGGATTTATAGACTTGTTCAACTCCTTACCGTTAAAGAAGTCCTGCAGCATCTTCTGCACCTTAGGAATACGCGTCGAACCACCAACCAACACTATATCATGAATCTGAGACTTGTCCATCTTAGCGTCTCTCAAAGCCTTCTCAACCGGCTCCAAAGTACCACGGAACAAATCTGCATTCAGCTCCTCAAATCGAGCACGAGTGATCGTCGTATGGAAGTCAACACCTTCATACAACGAGTCAATCTCCAGGTCAGCCTGAGTGCTTGAACTCAATGTGCGCTTCGCACGCTCACACGCCGTCCTCAAACGACGCAATGCACGCTTATTGTCGCTGATGTCCTTCTTGTGTTTACGCTTGAACTCTTGTACAAAGTGATTCACCATTCGATTGTCAAAGTCCTCACCTCCCAAATGTGTGTCACCAGCAGTGGACTTCACCTCAAATATACCATCCTCAATCGTCAAGATCGACACGTCGAAAGTACCACCACCCAAATCGAATATCAACACATGCCGCTCACCACCAACCTTCTTGTCTAAACCATACGCTATCGCAGCCGCCGTAGGCTCATTAATAATTCGCAACACATTCAAACCAGCTATTGTACCGGCATCCTTCGTAGCTTGACGCTGGCTATCATTGAAGTAGGCAGGAACTGTCACCACTGCATCAGTCACTGTCTTACCCAAGTATGCTTCAGCCACCTCCTTCATCTTCGTCAACACCATCGAAGAAATCTCCTCCGGGAAAATGTCTTGCGCTCACCTTTGTACTCAACACGAATCTTAGGCTTATCACCCTCACGAATAACCTCAAACGGCCAGTGTTTCATATCACTCTGCACCGATGGGTCATCGAATCGTCGACCAATCAGTCGCTTCGCGTCGAACACAGTGTTTGAAGGGTTGATCGACACCTGGTTCTTCGCTGCATCACCAATCAGACGCTCAGTATCTGTGAATGCCACATAACTCGGAGTCGTCCGGTTCCCCTGATCATTGGCGATGATCTCCACCTTACCATGCTGGAATACACCGACACACGAGTATGTAGTACCAAGATCAATTCCAATTGCGTTTGGCATTTTTGTGTGGGTCACAGTAGACAAACAGTTTCGTTATCGTATAGCAACAGTAAAATAACGACTAACGGAATCTCAGATGACAACGCCAAATAAAGAATGAAGGAGTCAGCAAAGCAACTGAATAAATAATATTTACGGGAGAAAGTACGAGAACTTTCCGTGGCCTTGACTAGAACATTCCCAGCCAATGAGAGACAGAAGTGCTACCTTTTACTAACCAATCACGAGGGAATATCGACCACTTACACGTTGGAGGCTATGAAGCTAGCTGGAATTCCTGTCCTCAACAACTGCGCATAAGACTAGACGATTTTGTCAATTATAGACTGTGGTCTGAACAGAGTTTTAGTGCCATAGATATCCATCAGGGCATTGAAGACCGTCGCTCGATACATGATTGCGCTTCATCCAGTCGTGGTTGCAACCACGATCAACATCACTGAAATGTGACGTTTATTGTCAGAAAGCAACAGTCTAGTCGAACTACACTGCATACTGATGACTGTGTACAATGGTAGTTTCATGCAGAGTCACAGGCGTCACTGCAACACCATCTAGAGTGGTAGTTACGGCGTTAAGTGATAAGGCTGCTGTCACTATCAGCCACGTTTACTCTTGAGGATGTTCCCGATTGGTGTTAATGGAGGGGGGACAAACCTGGTGGCGCGTCGTTGACTAGTGACGGTGAGAGGGAAAGGACGGGGCTGGTCAGCCTGATAGGGTTTTTGGCGTCGGTGAAAGTGGATTGTATCAAGTATTGAATGGAGTGTTCATTGTTGGCATTCATTCAATAACCATCCATTTGCACATTTTTACCAACATATGCAGTTAGACGATTATTTTAGTGAAGCACAGTACCAAATGATGTTCAATCTCTGAACTCATTAAAAAACTGCGATACCTCGAATCTGTGTCTTCATATTGCGTCGTTGATTGCAAACGGCTTATAAGTGGTATATCAGTGGAGGCGAAACTTTCCGGTCGCATATTTTAATGCTAACCTAATTCGAACGACTTTACTTCTAGGTTTTTGCAGTGATCCAAAGTCTTTTGACGGTTCCACATGCAGAAAAGAGAGTAACACTGGCGAATCGGGGAGACAACAGAGAATGGATAATGAATCATATGCATAGCATCAATTCACTCACCAGTGAACTAACTCTAAACTATTTCATGAACCAAAATAATAATGAGTAGTATGAGGTTACGGTAGAAGAATGGAGGACGAGAAAGTAGTACGTTTTCTCAATGGATTCTG